AAGGAAGTTAAGCGAAGTGAAGAGAAAGGAAAAGAGAAGGGAATACATACGAAGAAGCGAAGTGGAATGGTCCCGGGAACGAGGAGGCGCGGGGACAGAGACGTAATCACAGGGGCGTTGAATTAGGGAAGCATCGAAGGGAGTAGGGGGGGATCAAGGGGTGTGGGAGGGGGAAGAGTCGACGGTGGAGGACCGGGGTCACCGCCATATTATATTTAGCGAGACACAGCCGTGTGAATGAACTGCATATCCCAGGGCCGAACGCACTTTGCTCATAATATTTTTGAAATAATTCTTCCAAATTGACGCCCTTAGTTTTTTGCCCATCCAATTCCTCCCTTATTGTCTTAGAAATTCTCTGCTACGGTGGCTGCCTCGGATGATTTTATGCATGCTATTCTTCACAATCAAGTATGTACTTAGTGGGCGCAACATTTTGTCGTGACACTTTTCTTAAGGTCGTGGATAGTATTTTCAGAAAGTAATTGAAGCATCGCTGGGCTTGTCGTGGAGAGAGGAACCAGGAAACAAAGGAAGATTTGTAGTTTATAAAACGGAACAGCTTCGCAAATTGGCTTTATAAGGAATGGTGTATTCTGGAAAGGAAATATATTTCTGTGAGATGGATGTTATTGGGATAAGTAACGAAATTATGGTATGTAGTGCATTTGGGCATCGGCCCAACAGGATGGAAAGGAATCAAGTACCTCTTCATGTTCCATTATTTTTCCACTAGTATTCTCTTTGAACTTCAATTGTTAATCGCAGCTTTTATCATATAGATTCCAGTAATATTGACTGGCTCTTTGTTTACGCGCAGACTCAGTTTTCAACATGTGATTCTTTATCTCTGCCGATACATTTGCACGTCGGCTTGCTTCGCGGAATGTAACGCTGCCTGACAATAGAACACGTTACATTCATAGAACCCATCAATATGTACATGTATTTATTCTTGTTTTTTAAAAAAGAAAAATTCGCAAACAGAGGGAACAAATTTCACTCTAAAACCCTAAATATAATTTCTAATTGAAAAGAAAAGTGTCTGTTAAAATATATTATTATAATTTAAAATCATAATTGTTTAAGAATACAGATACATACACATTCACTATCCTCCAATTCTCTAACTTATTTAATTCTACAACAACTTGTTGCAAGATTTTCCCAATTTTTTAAGAAACTAAGTCTAGATTTTCTTCGTATAATCATCGTAGAGGCCCTTCATGCTATATCATTTATGCAATAATTCTCTAAATTTCGAAGATTGCGTTAATTATATATTAAAAAATATTTAGACTTCGTAAAGTCTGAGTCATCTGGATTTTAATTTGAACCAGGATATGTTCATGTATGAGTGAAGGAAATCAAACACTCATAAGTCGTAAATTACCGACATGAAGTTAATTACACAGGTTGACACGGATTCCTTTCCATTGTCGTCGCTGGTACATCGTCATGGTTAAAAAAACGTGGTTGCGGTGGAGATAGATTTCTCCGCAAACCGCAAGAAATCAGTAAAAAGAAAAAAGAGGAGAAGGGGAGTAGAGCGAGAAGTAAAAGAAGAGAAGAAGAAACGTCCCCATAGCAACACGATGCGATCAGGTCTCGCTTGCATGTACAGTCAACCTACATGTGTATTATACAGGCACACACACTTGCGAATAATTATGCTCTGTATATAATCACGAATTTCGATAATTGAGAAAAAATCGTGCGCATTACACGAATTAAATTCGTTAAAAACGATATAAACGTATCCTGTAGAGGAGCGGAAATGACTGACAATGACTTTGAAAGACGAACATTTTTGTACAAGATTATAGATTGGTCCAGGTGGAAAAGAATTAATATCGTACGAGTTCTCAAAGAACGAAGGAAAGAAAAAGGTGGCGTTTTTGTAAGGATTGTAATATCATGACGAGTGACAGCGATATGTAAGGCACACCTTAATACGTCCACAGAGCAACACATGAGAGATAATGGGAGTGTGGAGTCGGAGAATAAGGTCGCCAAATGGGAAACGATAATCGATTTAACTCGTTGAAAAGCGAATCGACCTTCCACTGCCGGAACAGGTGGAATATCTCCTACGCGCGCCCTCCATCTTGGAACGGAACCAACGTGAACCAACAGTCCTACGAAATAAAATTTATTTTCAGTTCTGCCTCGGAAAAGAATTAACTGAAATTAAGAACATAATTTAAATGTCATCTTAGAATCTTAACGAAAGTAAAAACCTTTGCTTATCGAACATTCCATTGTTATTTAATCTCTTCCTTTAAAAGCAATATGGCGTCTAAAACTTCTCTTACAACAATATCTATATACAGAGTTCCTTTTTGCTTGAGGATTCTCCTGTTAACTAAGCAAATAAATGTCACAAGATTCTCCCCCAAAGCATGAAAGAAACAAAGAGAAACGAATGGCAAAGGAAGCACAGAAAGACACCAACCAGGCGCATTTGAATATCCTGCGAGCTTGCATCGGCGGAGAACTGGTCAATCCTGTCCTGGGGGAACGAGAGCCGCGAACCGAGGAAAAAGGACCTGCCCGAAGGTGTATTCGCCTTCGGTTGCAGCTCGGCGAGTATCAAGCCGATCTGGACCAGCGGCCGATGCAACTAGACTGCCGTTATAATGCGTTACCTCGGCCTCCTAACTACCATCTGCCTTCCCTATGCTCGAACGTGTTTCCAGTGTCCTCGGCAAGCACTTCACCTTCCTTTGATATTGCATTTGATATTTTGAATGGGAAATTTATAGCTTCTTTCATTGTTGCTCACTCGTTGGCTCTCGACGAATTGCAGTTACATAGTATCATAGTAAAGTTACAATACGTTAAAGCTAAAATTTCCCAATTTTACTATACGAGTAGTGAGTACTACGTATCCAGAGAATTAGGACAACTTTATCACAATTCGCTTTCTGTAACTCAAAATCACGATCGTATACATTACGATCTTTTAACATTAGAATTGCATACTGGCGTTCTACGTAGTTCACAGAAGAGCGACGGAAATAGAATAGGAAGTGGAAGATCCGAATTTTGATCAGACTTCGATTTAACGACTTACCATAGGCAGATTGGTCGAAAACTTGCGCAACGAAGATAAAACCAAATGTTCACCACCGACTATGGGCAAGAGAGAGAAGAACTGAATGAACACACACGGGGGGGGGGGGGGGGGGCCCCCGCGGGGGGGGGGGGGCGGGG